TGGAAAGTGTTAAGGTTTGCCCAATACTCCAGAACCATGTTGATTGGTCTAATCAAAGAAGTTTTTTAATCATTCTAATGGTAGAATTTTTTTTTGATAACACTTTGATAACAATTGCCATATAATTGCTTTTTCAAATTATCATTGACAATTGATGATTAGTTTGTTGTTATATTCATTTCTTTATATCCAGATGAAGTTGCATGCAGGTCAAAAGAAAAAGAAGAAACACACAGAAAGGAGAGTTTGACAGTTTTGACAGCAACAGGTAAATTTTGTACAAATTCTTGAGCAATAAGTAACATTTGCTTAGAAGGATACACTGTTCTAAAAAAAATCATGAGAGGAGACTATTCACAGAAGTTTTTGCTACAAAAATATCAATTCTGATTATTATGGAAGTAATTATAGTGAAAAGTACAGGTACAGTGCAGATGTGACAATTAAAGTTTTGCTCGTATACTGAAACATAGTGAGATGCAGTAGCTAGAATAACCACCAGAGTTTGCACCTGGTGGGTGAATTTACATATAAAATGCATGTCATGCCTTAATTTAGTTCATTACTGAAAAATAAGGGTGTTGGAGATTTTATTTAATTTAATTTACTCTATTTTCACTGCATTAATTTTTGCAGTAGGGAAGGACTAGAAAGGAACATACGAACCCTTCGTGCTGGTCCACTCTCACCCATCCTACCCCAGGGGAGGACATCCATCACACAGTAATCACGTGTGTGGGAAATTAATGTCTCCTAGCCCAACCTTGCAGGAGACCGCACCTCCATTTATTAGTGCCTATCCGAGAAGAGTAGAATATCTAACCATTTCTTGATGTTATAGAAAGGTAGCAAATTCTTCTCAGTTATTTTAAGACCCTGAGTGTTGGTCTGGCCGGGGCTCGAACCCTCGACCTGCCACACAACAGTCCGGCGCTCTATCCATTGAGCTAAACAGGAGGCAGTTGATAATAACTCAAAAGATAGCTATAGATAGCTAAGAGATAACTAAAACATGTTCATTGGGGAATTGATGAAGTCAGCTTCTCAGAAACAAATTTTGCTTTTTCTATTGTTTGTGTTTGGGGGCCTGTTTGCCCTTCCCCTAATGAGTGCCCAGTGCCCATCCACGCCTCCTCCCCCCTCTCCAGGCCAATAAACTAAACAAACTCTACCTTGAATAATCATCATTTCTCCTCCCTCACTTTCCAAAATAAAAGGAAAACCTGTTTCTTTTGCAACTTTATTGGTAACTTTTTAAACCTTATATACTCAACTAAATCAGCCTAGGTTAATATTTTCTTGATAAACGACCTCCTCAATTAAGCAACCTGATCCTTCCAATAAGTGCCCCTCTTCTAACTAAAATTCTAAAAAATTGCCTTGATGCTTATTTTAGGAAATAGGAAAGACCTTTGTGTAATTGCAGATTGAGATGAAGCTATTTTGTATAAGATTAAGTAGAATTTCTGTTACTGTTTTGCTTTACTTTCAACTTACAACAAAGAAATGTATGGAAATACCTGAGTGCAGAAATCTACTACCCCACAACACTGATTAATCATAACTGTTACAATTTCCTCAAATGTGATTGGTGCATTAGCTGCTTTATTTTTCACTAATCATTCTGAAGAGTTGTAATCAAACAGTTAAAGCAGTCAAACATAGTAAGTCCACTCAGCTAAATCTACCAATCACAGAAATGATCAAATTAAGCAACAACCACTAATATCCTAAAAAACCTGGGGAACTTACCAAATGGAGGGATTTTTCACTTAAGACAAGTCATTGTCTCAACCTAAGATATTTTCCCTAAATGTATTTTTTCTTTTTTGAAGTTGTGATTAATGGTTATGATTAATTGCTAACAGGACTTTGTGTCGTCCAATTCAGTCTGTACTCATGCTCTTGATTGACAGATCACACTCTCACTTCAGTGGTCGTCCTATTTTGTTAATAGCTCATAAAAATTAGAGTTAGAATTTAACTCCACTCAGTCTGATTACCATTATTAACCAAAGCACAATTTGAGTGACCTTCTAGTAAGAATAGATTGAGTGTGTTTAAACCTTGAAGCACTGAAGAAGGACTTGAGTTTGTTCTCAAACATAGAACATTATTCATAAACAAAGCATACAATTGTTTTTTGTGTATGCTTATAGATCATTCAATTCTTAAACAGTCAAACAATGTTTGTCTGTCTCCTTTTTTCCATAACACTTGTCACTCTACTGACTTTTTCAGTGAGGCTGAGTGTAGAAAGCAAAGTATTCTCTTATTTATAAAACCTAGCACTAATATAGTTAACATGTTTAACGTTTGAGCCTTGCCTGTGGCTACGTGATTTAATCCCTTCATTCGTATTTTTTCATATCAGATTCAGGTACTGCTACTTCTGATTCAACAGAAAAAACACAGGGAAATAAGAAAGAAGTTTTCACAGCAACAGGTACAGCTATAGAAGGTATGCTATGAGCCTCAGTAATTTAGTTGCATTTATTTCCAATATTGCTTTGCCTTTAACCCTTAAAGTTTATCAACGTGTAATTTCTCCCATCTTCTTAATCAGTAGTTTCTTTAGAATAAGGCTCTATTGATTAGTTATGTTATTTTCCTCACTCATTTCTGTGAGCGAGGATAACAAGGAACTGTTTAGTGTTAACTTGTAAAACTCCTTCAAGAAGTCTACGAAAGTTAGACGAAACACGTCTTAGGATAAAAAAAGTTTTATGACAACTGCTCGCATAGTACTGCTCACTAGTTAAACTTTTTTCCAAAACTTGCTCTCCCACCTCAACCTCCTTCTTTGATAATGTGAGCTGTCCTAATTTCTTTTCACGTTATCTGATTTTAGGATTTTCTGTTGACTCCAAAGACGCAACAGACAGAACGTCCCTAATGAATGCTTCTCTAAATGGCAGCGTCCAAGCGGTGAAGGGTCTCATTGAGAGAGGAGCAGATCCGTCCCTGATGAACGACGAAGGATGGAATGCGTTACATTTTGCCGCAAAGGGTGGAGACACTGATGTCATTGATCTTATCCATACTCACTTGCTAAACATTGAGTCCGAAACAGCCCAGGGTTACACGCCACTAATGGTGGCCACTTTGCATGGCAAATTACACGCAGTAAAATGGTTTCTTGGGAAGGGGGCAAATGTAACCTGTGTTGATAATATAGGAAGGAATATGTTGCATTTCGCCGCAGAGGGTGGAGACACTGATGTCATTGATCTTATACATACTCACATGCCAAACATTGAGTCCAAAATGGCTGAGGGCTGTACCCCACTAATGGTGGCGGCTTTGAATGGCAAATTAAACGCAGTAAAATGGTTTCTTAAGAAGGGAGCAAATGTAGCCTGTGTTGCTAACAAAAGAAGGAATATGTTGCATATCGCCGCAGAGGGTGGAGACACTGATGTCATTGATCTTATCCATAGTCACTTGCCGAACATTGAGTCCAAAACAGCCGAGGGTTACACGCCACTAATGCTGGCGGCTTTGAGTGGCAAATTATACGCAGTAAAATGGTTTCTTGAGAATGGGGCAGATGTAACCTGTGTTGATAATATAGGAAGGAATATGTTACATTTTGCCGCAGTGGGTGGAGACACTGATGTCATTGATCTGATACATGCTTACATGCCAAACATTGAGTCCAAAATGGCTGAGGGTTACACGCCACTAATGCTGGCGGCTTTGACTGGCAAATTGCAAGCAGTGAAATGGTTTCTTGAGAAGGGGGTAAATGTAACCTGTGTTGCTAACAAAAGAAGGAATATGTTGCATTTTGCCGCAGAGGGTGGAGACACTGATGTCATTGATCTTATCCATAGTCACTTGCCGGACATTGAGTCCAAAACAGCCGAGGGTTACACGCCACTAATGGTGGCAGCCTTCACTGGCAAATTGCAAGCAGTAAAATGGTTTCTTGAGAAGGGGGCAAATGTAACCTGTATTGATAACAAAAGAAGGAATATGTTATGTTTCGCTGCACAGGGTGGAAACACTGATGTCATTGATCTTATCCATACTCACTTGCCAGACGTTCAGTCAAAAACAGCCGAGGGTTACACGCCATTAATGGTGACGGCTTTGACTGGCAAATTACAAGCAGTGAAATGGTTTCTTGAGAAGGGGGCAAATGTAACCTGTGTTGATAACA